AATAGTATTACTTGAAATGAAAAAAAATGAGAAGAAAGAACGAGAGTAGGAAGAACTTCTGCCGGAGTAAAACTAGTAAAATATTTAAGCACCAGAGCACCCTTCATATAGAAGTACGAAGTATTAAAGATACAGATATCACGGGTCTTGGGTCTTGTTTCAGGAAGTATACAAATAGACACGCGTACCACATATAGCAGACCCAAGTCACGGGCTGATGCATGGGAAAAACAACTCATATGCATGCTACAGTTTTTATTTGTCATTTTATTATTTAGTACATGCAAAACAACAAATATATAGCTCATCTTCCCATACTCAAGTAATTTGTTTGCTTTCAAAATAATTGTGGAGGTGCAGATCGATTTTTAATTAATTAACATGTGTAAGTGTTAGACCCTAGATTCTGATAGATTTTGATGATGCCTTTGTTTTGATATCTTCCATCTTTTGTAGCATTCAACTATTATGAAAACTGGCAGTTGGCTGTAACAAATAAATATAACTGGAAAACATAAAATGCAATAAGGTAATACTTTATTACCTTAAAAGTATCTCTTATAGATTCTACCAGTTAAATTTATTTGTTACATCAAATGACACAAAAATATTTCGAACAACTACACTATTTCTTTAACTGGAATACAAAATGCAATAAGGTAATAATTTTTACCTTAATAGGATTCGTTATCCTACCAGTTAAAAATTTAGTTTATGTTCGAAATACTTGATGGGCCATACACAACCAAGTGTGACCAGAAGTCAAAAGAAAAATGTTTGTATCAAGTAAATTATACCGGAAAAATAAAAATGCAATAAGGTAATTTTTACCTTGAAAAGGATATTTAAATCCTACCGGTATATATTTACTTTATCACAAACATTTTTAATTTTGACACAAAAACGAAAGGCACATTGGTATGAAATATACATGTGTCTAATTGAGAACAAATATCCGGAGCTAATCAAAAATCCCGGCATGGAGAGCCAAGACGTACAGTATGGGATGCACAATCAACTTGAAGTGAAAAAGCTACAGTGGCTAGGCAAACAAGACAAAAAGAACCCATCAGCTCTGAAGAAGAAAATAAACAACAAGTTGTTTATCTTCTGCGATCAAGATTCAACGTTCATGATTAAATCATCTCAACCAACGGATGATTAAATAAAGGCCGAAGCATGAGTTAAATAATCAAGTCATTGAGTTCAAAGCAAGTGGTTCAGTCATTACACTACGCATATCCAGCAAAAGAGAAAGTGCTTGAATACTCTGCTTTGACTTATGCTTCACTAAGCTCTTAGACTAGATTATTCATTGTAACATTTGTAGAGCTTAGGTTTTAGTTGGTGGCCAGAAGTTCCTTGTAACATTTTACAAGTGGTTGTAAACACTTAGGAGAACAGTTGTTCGGATCCTAAAGTGTAGTTAGATAGATAGAGTACCTTTTGATCCCCACTGGATCAATTGAGAAAAGTCTAAGGACTGAGTAACTTTGAGTGGTGTTATACTCATCGTGAAAATCCTTCAATCTAGGCCAGGGTTGTCAAGGCTAGATTGGCACTAATTGTATTGGGCTGAATACTTTAGTGGAAATCCATTTGAAATAGAATGGGACTGGATGTAGGAGGATTACACCACCTCTGAACCAGGATACATGGTGTGTTGATTTACTTTCATACATACAGAACACACACCAAACACATCTCACTAAAGGTTTGTAGTTTGCCAGCAGCATCCTAAGCAGTAGTCTCCATCGACTGTACTGCTTCGCCTACTGCTTAATAACTCACTCTCCTTGAGAGTGTTTTCCACTAGAAGTTGTCTTAAACTCAGAAGGTAACTCAGCAGTACACTGGTCTTCACCCTCCTGCTGAGCCCACTGCCCATCCAAACGTATCTTTCCAAACCCCATAACAAGCTAGAACAAAAAGCCATCCAAGAGTCATCCTAGTCTTCAGCAGTTGCCTGCCAGTCAGCAAACTGTCTGTGCAGCAGTAGCCTAAGCAGTTACCTGCTCACCAGCCTACTGCCAAGCCTACTTCCTCTCGTAACCAGTCTAATCATTATCTAAACTAGAAAGTTATCTCACACTTAGTATAAAGAGGTTAAAGACTTCCGCTGTGCATCTATTAATCTCTCAAAAGATTATAGATCAATTCATCTAGAGGGAAAACTTCATAAAGATGAAAAAGATTTAAAAGTCTATTCACCCCCCCTCTAGACTTTTACCTCTATCCGGGACCATCAAGTGGTATCAGAGCGAAGTGTTCCTAGAGTCAGTTTCTGACTATTTTCGAACTAAAGATCCAATTCCACTTTTATCCCAAAACTTTCTAAATGATGGATGAACAACAAACAAAGGATGCATGAGATGAACTCACGGAGAATCAATCAGAAGATGAACAAAGCTGCTCATCAGAAAGGCAGGAGGAAGCTATAACTTGCTTCTTTGGAATGATTCCAGAAAATAGTTCCTCTCACAACTATGATATGGCCAGATCTTATGAAGGTGACAATAATGAGGTATTATCCTGTTCTTCAAACGATTCATATGATTCCAACTCTTCCAGCGTTGATATGGAGACATTGCTCCATCAATTTGAAAACTTCCAAAAAGAGCACCTTAGCTTAATGAATGAAAACTACAGACTTCAAGAAAATCTCTTAGTAGCTCATGCTCAATTGGGTGAAGCAATCAAAAAGATAGATTATCTTGAAAATGAAAACATCAGTTTGAAAGAAAAGCTAAGCTCCCTCACTCCCCCACTCACTAAGGAAGTTCAACACACTGAAAAAGACACAGGTTACACATCATGTTCCTACTCATTGAAAAACTCTCCCAAATACTCTTCTACCACAAAACACACTTTCAAAGAAGACACAAAGTCTCTTAGCCACCAACACTCCCACATCCAAACAGTTCCTACAAGAAGGAACATGTCTGCTCCAAAACCAAAATCAAAATCCCTGCACAAACAGAAACTTCCTATCAAAAAGGAAAACCAAAGAACCAGTTGGCATATCACCAATAAGACCAACTACCCACCTAAGAAGCAGCTAAATCAACCCAGAAGAAATCACTCTTATCCTACATACAAGAGAGAAATGATGAACTCATACACAGCCACCTCTTCTAAATACATCACCTCAAAAGGCTGTAGATCACACTGCTTAAGGGAAAATGGTTCTAAATGGGTATGGATGCCCAAATCTATTCAAAGGAAGTTGCCCACTTCAATGTGGGCTACTACCACTCAACATTGACAAAAACAGGAAGGTGCTGGAGCAACTAAACCCAACAGAATAGTACATATATTCTAGTTGCTTCAGGCACATGATTAGGAGCAGAAGGCCACTGATAAATTGTTCAAAGGAAGAACCCAAAGAAACACTTGTATAAAAGGAAAAGGGAAGAAGAAAAGATGAGACCATTTCAAGAAGGTGACACAGACTCCAGACTACTGCCAGCAGAAGACTCAGACTGAGACAACTGCCAGCAGTAGGATCAGATCAAAAATGATCTTCTCAAAAACACTCTCACCAGAATCAAATCTAAATCTCTGAAGAGAGCTCAGCCAGACAATGAAGAAGTCCAATCAAGAAAATCCTCAAAGAAGACGGCTGCCAATCGAAATCTTTAAACAGAAATGGAGGCAGTAACCTCCCCACTAAATACATTCGACTCAGCAGCATCCTCACTTCCAACTATCCATGAAGAAGGTGAGGGATCTCAACATCTTAAGGAGCAGCAGACATCTGATCTTCTTCTACATACAAACTATTCATGAAGGGATTCATCTTGGAAGAATACCAGAAAGGCTCCAAGCTGCTTGACCAACTATATTAACTGAAAATGACTGGATTCTGGAAACAAAGGTTGAATCAAATGGCAGCCAATTGCCAGCGGGCAGCTTGAAAAACAGATCACCACCAGCAGTTGACTCAACTGTCAGCCCACTGCCAGCAAGTGACTCACCAACAAACAACCTTCCAAGCACTAATGACATTCCTAATCACACTATTCTACCAGAGGATAGTGAAGATGAAGAAAAGAAGGAGGATGACCAACAAACTCTAGCCAAAACAATCACATCTGATGCCAGATGGTTGAGCAAACATCCTCCTCACCAAATTATTGGAAGTATCAATACAGGGGTTCGTACCAGATCAGCAATGCAGAGAGAAGCATTCTTCTCATGCTTCATCTCCCAAATGGAACCCAAGAAAATTGAAGAAGCCCTACTTAACTCTGACTGGATACAAGCAATACAAGAGGAACTAAATCAGTTCCAGAGAAACAATATGTGGGAGCTTGTGCCCAGACCCTATCACCAACATGCACTAGTAAAAAAATGGTTTACGGTGACACTAAATTTGTGTCACTAAACGATTTAATGACACACTGAAAGTGTCATAGACAAGCGGGGCAAGTGACACAAAATTTAGTGTCACTGATCGCTAAATAGATTAGTGTCACAAAAGTATGACAATAAAATATCATATAAAATTATGACGTTATAATATCATAACTTTTTTTGACACTCTGGTATCATAAATATATATGATACATTAGTATCATAAGTATATATATATATATATATATATATATATATTTCAATATATATATATATATATATATATATATATATGTAATATAATTTAATACTAATAAATAACCAAAATTCAAAGATTTTTATTTATATCTCAATTTCTCACATAAATGTGAATGTACATACTACATAATTCATGGGGGCACACCCCGAAACAACAACTAATATACAAGAACAAACGCTAACAAGTCTAACTTTTACACCACACTTCCTAGGACCTTCACATATCTTCTTTTGCAGACTTGCACAGAATGAAACCTTTGCTTCAATCTTTGCAAACTCCAACAGAATCACACATAACCTGAAACATCAATAAAACAACATAGATAGAAATAAAATTGATATGGAGGTGTATATGCCCAATACACCTCCAACAGAATCACATGTAACCTCTACCATTCTCTCTATGTTCATGCCCAATACATCTTCCATTTGAATTTCATGTACAACACACTAGGATAAAACTGAAATTGAAGATGAAAATATTATCATACTCGGTTACACAATAAGGTTTAATGATACAAATATATATAATTAAACTCAGAACAAATATTATCAATGTCAAAATATTATCAATGTCAAAATATTGAAGTTATCTTATTAAAACTGAAATTGAAGATGAAAATATTATCATACTCAGCTCATAGCATTATAAAGGTAACTATTGTGTTTTCTTATACTACGTATCTAATGTGGCCAAATTTAAAAAGACAATATTTACCTTGAACCCAAGTCTAAGGTTCTTTGCAGCTATACACGGTTGTCCGGTTGTATCCCTCCGCACCTATCACGCGCTGACTTCCTATAATAATACAAGTCGGCACAACAACTAAATAGAAGAAAATGAGAAATATCAATAAAGACATCTATGTTACCTCTTTGGTGCAACCTCTTTTATGGGAGCTACTGCTATCTCAGTTGAGCTTCCAATATAGCAGAGGAAACTGCACTCTCCGAATCCAAAGCCACAAGGGAAACTTGTGAATCAGCAAGTTTAACAGGGGCTGCCGGAGCAGCATTAACAGGGGCACAAACCAAGGCTGCACTAGGGGCATTAGTAGTCAGGGGGCATCAACAACAATAGCATCACTCACAGAGGCACCAATATTAGCAACATGACTAACAGAGGCATCAACATAAGAAACATCACAAACATTATTATCAGGGACACCTTGAACATCAACAATAGGGGCAAAAGGGACACCAGTAGACTCAGTTACAGGGGCACAAAGAGCACCAACATCTGTCTGCCATAGCACCAATAACATTGTCAGGGGCACAAACATTACTACCATCACAAGCATAAGCACCAGTACACTAGCACCAGAGGATCTATTTACCTTGAATGAGGTAATTGGTTCCTTTGAAATATTAACCTCAACCAGTACCCTTGCAAAACCAAGCCTGGATTGTAACAACCTCAAAATTTACACTTGATAAAACTTCAAAGTAAAAGCAAGCATATAAGTAATTAAGACTATTAAATGAAAATTAGTAATTAGTATGGTTGAATGATGTTTAATTTATTTAAACTACACCAAAATAACTTATGGTTAAAAGTAAATGGAACTAATCTAATCAATAAGTATGTCCTATGATAAATGTAGTACTATATTTAAGTGAATAAGAGGGTAAAATTAGTCATGATAAAAAAGAGAGGGTAAAATTAGTAACTTCTTGATACTTACTAAAATCAAAATAGTAAATCAAATTTTAAAATAGTCTATTCAATTCGAAGTATTATATATGTATAGGTGAATAATTGGCTCCATTTTATAAGTAAATACATTGCTACATTCTTAATTAGGCTATAAATGTGAGTGTACATTTGGCAGCTTCATGCATTAAAGAACAAAATATAAATAATATAATAATCAAACAAGTCTCCTAAAATGCTACGTGGTTGCAAAAGTAACACTTGGAAATTCTGTACCTACACTGCACACTTAGCCATTAACCCCAAGAAAGGAACAAAAGTTGCCTACTCCATACAAACATACATGATTAAGTGTACAAATGGAGTAGTCATAGCTAGCCATAAATTAATAAGTATATATAAATAAAAGGTAAGAACCTCATAGAGTAGCGGGTCCATTTGACAATAGGAAGAGATACTTACGTATAGCAATCAAATTAAAACCTTGAACAATAAGAATATGAGGGAGAGGGCTACGGGTAGAGGGTATTACATGGATCCTTCATTCGTGACTTTGTCTGAACAGATTGGTTTCCCTACCCTCGAAGCAATTTTGGCAATTGCTTTTTTATTCCAACACTCCAACGGAATAGACGGAAGTTGTATCCAGATGGGTACAATCTTAAAAGCTCTACTTTCAAACGTCAAGTTTTTTGGCAGAATTCTCAAAATCAAAGTTTTTCCATAAGTCATATACGACCCATGAGCACCAGGTTTCTATCTTCTTCTATTTTGAACTGGAAATAACCCAGCCATGATCATGAAGCAGAATGGTAAATGGGACACCCCAAGAATCAACCAAAGAGTTAACAGCTCTCAATCCCGAGAAAGTACTTGTGAAAAAACCAAGTCTGGACCAGGGGGGAAATGTCTTCCTCTTCTATAAGCATAACTTCATCTCCTGTGAGTGGGAAATATTCCAGTTGCATACCTTGGGAGGTATCTCTATTGTCATGAAAGAGACCTGCCCAGGTTTTCTGTGGTGCAATGCTGGAAACTGGTTCAGGAGTTTCATCAGTCACCTTGTCTGCAACATTTGATCCCTCACCTTCTTCAGTCAACGATTTCTGCAACATTTGATCCCTCGCCTTCATCAGTCAACGACTTACCTTGCGCATCAGTTGATGTCTGCACCAGTGTCGCGATTTCCTTCACGGATTTCCTAATTTCATTTTGAGGTGATTGACATTTCTTATGATTCTTTGACCCTTTCGCCACAGGAATCAAGCAACCAGAAACAGGTGGATTCAAATCGAATAGGAAAACGCGAAAAAAAAACAGAGAAAAAACCCCCAAAAAATCCATTCAGAGCCAAAATCAAATATTCGCTACTCCCACCGCCATGGCTGCGGCTAGCTTTCACCGATGTAAATGTCGATCGGGCCACATACGTCGGCGTATCACCGTACTCTGCCGTTTTGTTACCCTCTACGATCACTCCAGCGGTACCTCCGAACACGAAGGGGGTATCCTCGAGCCAGCTTCGCATTGACGAAGGCAAATGAGCCATCACCATCGGCCGGCTTAAACTTGAGCTTCTCGGTGGAGGCAGTGGTCAGGAAATATTCCTTGAAGATGTACGCCTGCGTTAAAGTTTCTCCAGCAAGATAATCGGTCGGAGAAGCTCTGGCTAGGGTTGTGCGAGTGAAGAGAGAAAACTGATTTGGAGACCAGAGAAAGAAAGTGAATTTTGTGTTAAAATATGACAAAATAATGTAAAAATAAAATAAAATAGGGCGTGAACGTCACTATCTCATATTGATGCTATTGTGTCAGAAACTAATGACACATATACATCGTAAAAAAGATATGTCGTATTTTAGTGACACTATATTAAAAAGTGTCACTAACGAAGTGTCACTATAAGCCTGTTTTCTACTAGTGATGTGATAGGAACCAAATGGGTGTTAAGAAACAAGATGAATGAGGAAGGTACAATTGTCAAGAACAAGGCAAGACTAGTAGCCAAAGGCTACTGCCAGGAAGAAGGTATAGATTTTGATGAAACCTTTGCTCCTGTTGCCAGATTAAAAGCAATAAGAATATTCTTGGCACAAGCAATTCACAGTCTATCAAATGGATGTGAAAAGTGCCTTCCTAAGCGGTCTACTAAAAGAGGAGGTCTTTGTGGAGCAACCTCCTGGTTTTGAAATCAATAGAGAGAAGGATCAAGTCTACAAGCTACACAAAGCTCTATACGGACTCAAGCAAGCCCCAAGAGCATGGTATGACACTCTCTCTGAATACTTAGTGAATAATGAATTCACTAAGGGCAAAGTAGGTAGACAAGACTTTATTCAAAATTAAAGAAGGTCCCCACATATTGCTTGTTCAAATCTATGTTGATGACATAATTTTTGGAAGTTCAAATCAAGCATTGTGTGAGAAATTTTCAACTCTCATGCAAAGCAAGTTTGAAATGAGCATGATGGGAGAGTTGAATTATTTTCTGGGACTACAAGTGAAGCAGACTCCACAAAGCTTCTACATCAACCAAGAAACTGAATAAAGAAAGATTCAGAATTCAAGACAAAAGCTTGGGGTGATGATCAAAGTAAGGGAATTACCCTGTACCCATTCAGGGGGAACTCAATTGAAAGGAAATTCCTAGCCAATTGTTGAGGGGGAACTCCTCATTATACTCAAGAAAAGTCACATACTCAAAGAAAGCTACTCGAAATCCAAGCAGTAGGCTCAGCAGGTGACTGACTTCCACAAACAGTTAGCTCAGCAGGTGACTGCCAATAAGCCCACTGCTAATTCTCAAACACCATCAAGATCAGAGTGACTGCCAAGAATAAGCTACTCAAACTCACTGGGAATGAAGCATCAAGGTCCAAGAAAGTCAATCTCAAATATAAAAGAAGTCAAAATCCAAGCAGAAGGAACAGCAGAAGACTACTCTCCAACAAGCAGCTGCCTCCGCAGATGACTGCTCTCCAGTAGCAGCAAACTCAGCAGGGAACTACTCAAAAAGGTGGATACAAAAAGGACTTCAAAGGCAAGAGACAAGCCTTTGTAGGTAAGGAATCTCAAAGTAAAAATGAGAGCAGCTCAAGTAATGAAAGCTCCTCATCTGAAAGCTCAGAAGGAGCACTACTACGTAGGATCCTAGCAGATGGCTGAAGAAAGCAGTAACTGACTCAACGAAGATGATAAATGCTGTTCCCTTAAATGCTTAATGGCCAAAGACCACTACAACGATGTTGAGATATCTTAAGCAAAAATGATGTCTTAGAAAAGGAGAACAAAAAGCCATCTCAAAGAGGAAGGGAAGAGGATGTCAAAAGCAAAGAAGAGGATGAGAAATGAACTCAGCAGTTGATACAGAGGAACCTGCTGCCACAACAACTGAAAATCATAATCATTGGAGAATGAGAAGAACAACTAGCTCAAACTGCTAAAAATCAGATACCAATTCAAAAAGGTACGATACTGATCCACAAAACTCAGCAGTAGACCCATATATGGATTGAAAATAGAATGCTACTATTCTGTAGAAACTTATTTTTATTAGGAGCATCTTGCATCTGCAGCATCCTAATAAAATAAAGATTATCTACAGTTTTTAGTAAGTATCCTATTTTTATTGATTACTGTCAAAATTAGCCATAAACAAGCTAAAACAGTATCCTAGAACTATCCATTTCTGAGCATGCAAAAGGAAGTGTCAGAATCATCTAAAAGCAGAAAGAACTTATGGTTACATGCAACATGCATGAATAACATCTGGCAATCGAAAAATGATCACTCACCTTCCTCATTAATGATGCTCTGAGAAAATACTTGATCAATCCTCTCTCACTCTCTTATCAAGACACTCTGTCTTAAAAGAAGAACCAGCCGCTGAAACATTAATGAAGACTTTAACATACTTCGATTCTCACCCACATCGAAATATGAAGAAGCCGCACACTTCGTTTAAATACCTCCACTCCATGAACAAACCTCCCGTTCGAATTAATCCTCCTTCTATCTACTCCAAACTCTCCTTCGGCAAAATGAATCCCTCTTTCAACTCCCTGTCTCTCGAACTTTCACTCGCACCACCACAGTCCAACAATGGTTATCAGGCAGCACCACACCCTGATGCCAACCAACCTTATGCCCTAACTCAAATGCAAGAGGAAAGCCTTGCATACATAGAGCTTCAAGCTCTGATTGAAGCGAAAAAAGAACAGCTACTACAAGAACGACTTCGGGTGCTGAAATGGAGAAAGTGGAGATTATCAGACATTGATACTCTCATTCTCAACAGATCACGAATGATAGGAGAAGAAACGTTCTCTCTAAAATGGATGATGACACAAGACATTGAGGCATCACTCTCAATCCACAACATCAACAATGTCTTCCATTTCAGACTTGCTCAAGTCATTGAGAACAACACACAGAGACAAGCAACAAGAGGCCGCCTCTTCCCTGGGGAACCATCAAGCAGAAGAAGAAGGACTGAGTGATTGGTGAATGCTACCAAAAGAGGGGGAAAGAGAGTAGGAAAACACTCTAGGTTCATCTTTTGTATTTTAGAAAGTGTTTTCAAACTCTTCTTTTGGCATCATCACAAAAGGGGGAAATTGTTAGACCCTAGATTCTGATAGATTTTGATGATGCCTTTGTTTTGATATCTTCCATCTTTTGTAGCATTCAACTATTATGAAAACTGGCAGTTGGCTGTAACAAATAAATATAACTGGAAAACATAAAATGCAATAAGGTAATACTTTATTACCTTAAAAGTATCTCTTATAGATTCTACCAGTTAAATTTATTTGTTACATCAAATGACACAAAAATATTTCGAACAACTACACTATTTCTTTAACTGGAATACAAAATGCAATAAGGTAATAATTTTTACCTTAATAGGATTCGTTATCCTACCAGTTAAAAATTTAGTTTATGTTCGAAATACTTGATGGGCCATACACAACCAAGTGTGACCAGAAGTCAAAAGAAAAATGTTTGTATCAAGTAAATTATACCGGAAAAATAAAAATGCAATAAGGTAATTTTTACCTTGAAAAGGATATTTAAATCCTACCGGTATATATTTACTTTATCACAAACATTTTTAATTTTGACACAAAAACGAAAGGCACATTGGTATGAAATATACATGTGTCTAATTGAGAACAAATATCCGGAGCTAATCAAAAATCCCGGCATGGAGAGCCAAGACGTACAGTATGGGATGCACAATCAACTTGAAGTGAAAAAGCTACAGTGGCTAGGCAAACAAGACAAAAAGAACCCATCAGCTCTGAAGAAGAAAATAAACAACAAGTTGTTTATCTTCTGCGATCAAGATTCAACGTTCATGATTAAATCATCTCAACCAACGGATGATTAAATAAAGGCCGAAGCATGAGTTAAATAATCAAGTCATTGAGTTCAAAGCAAGTGGTTCAGTCATTACACTACGCATATCCAGCAAAAGAGAAAGTGCTTGAATACTCTGCTTTGACTTATGCTTCACTAAGCTCTTAGACTAGATTATTCATTGTAACATTTGTAGAGCTTAGGTTTTAGTTGGTGGCCAGAAGTTCCTTGTAACATTTTACAAGTGGTTGTAAACACTTAGGAGAACAGTTGTTCGGATCCTAAAGTGTAGTTAGATAGATAGAGTACCTTTTGATCCCCACTGGATCAATTGAGAAAAGTCTAAGGACTGAGTAACTTTGAGTGGTGTTATACTCATCGTGAAAATCCTTCAATCTAGGCCAGGGTTGTCAAGGCTAGATTGGCACTAATTGTATTGGGCTGAATACTTTAGTGGAAATCCATTTGAAATAGAATGGGACTGGATGTAGGAGGATTACACCACCTCTGAACCAGGATACATGGTGTGTTGATTTACTTTCATACATACAGAACACACACCAAACACATCTCACTAAAGGTTTGTAGTTTGCCAGCAGCATCCTAAGCAGTAGTCTCCATCGACTGTACTGCTTCGCCTACTGCTTAATAACTCACTCTCCTTGAGAGTGTTTTCCACTAGAAGTTGTCTTAAACTCAGAAGGTAACTCAGCAGTACACTGGTCTTCACCCTCCTGCTGAGCCCACTGCCCATCCAAACGTATCTTTCCAAACCCCATAACAAGCTAGAACAAAAAGCCATCCAAGAGTCATCCTAGTCTTCAGCAGTTGCCTGCCAGTCAGCAAACTGTCTGTGCAGCAGTAGCCTAAGCAGTTACCTGCTCACCAGCCTACTGCCAAGCCTACTTCCTCTCGTAACCAGTCTAATCATTATCTAAACTAGAAAGTTATCTCACACTTAGTATAAAGAGGTTAAAGACTTCCGCTGTGCATGTATTAATCTCTCAAAAGATTATAGATCAATTCATCTAGAGGGAAAACTTCATAAAGATGAAAAAGATTTAAAAGTCTATTCACCACCCCTCTAGACTTTTACCTCTATCCGGGACCATCAGTAAGTCACAAAACGGCAGACTAGTTTTGTT